CGAGGCCCCAAGATGGGTAGCAAATGGACTCCAGGCAGGGCACTGCCCTCTGATAGAAGCTCTGGGCCTGCTTCAGGACTTCCTGCCCCTGGCCTGCTTGGTTCCCTGACCTTCTAAGAGTTAAGACTGCCCTGCCACCAGGCCTTAGGGCCTATGCCTGTTTTGGCCTAGGGCTGAAGAGGAGGGTGGGGGAGGAAGGTGGGGACGGATAGGACCCTGGCATGGGGTGTGCCTGCCCTGGCCTCTTCCCCCTCCTTCTGCTGAGTAAACTCGTGAGTAAACTTGACGTTTTGCCCGGACAGTTTGAAGTTGCCTCGCCGCCCCCCCACCCCCAGTCCTGCCAACACACAAGCGGCCAGGCGCCAAGGCGGGCCTGGGGGACTGTGGGGAAGGGGTTAGAGCTACTGTAGTCTACCATCAGGGGTGTCAAAGGGGTGAGAAAGACCCCCCACCCAGCCAGACCCAGGTCTTGGCTGAGGACTGGAAGCATCTGTCCCAGAACCTTGGGGAGCCCAGGGAAAGTGGCCTTGAAGCCCACTTCTGACTTCTACCCCCACTAAGGAAAGGTACCCAGCTGCCATCTGGCCACTGAGTTGCCATCTTTAATGTTTGTAGGCTGCTTGGCACAGGGGGAAACTCCGCTTAGCAAATTGTACAGGGAGACCAACGAGGGCTGCCCTGTTCATTCTGTCCTACAGCCCGGGGTGGGTGGGAGGCCGCTGGCCTTGGCATCTCGGCGCTGTCCTCACTGAGGCCTCCCAGCTGCCATGGCCATGGCCCTGGAGGATAGCGTCCGTATTTCTCGCACGGTTCCTTGACCTCACACCTGGGCCTAACCCCACACATACCTTCCTCCACTGAACTCCCCTTAGGCCTGGGCCGGACCCCTCCCGCCCCAGCCCCTTCCTCTACTTGCTAGCATCCCAGAACCAAGTCAACCATCAGAGCTTCCCAGCCAGAAAAATACCTGTGCCAGATCCAGGGGTTAGGGTGCCCCAGCAAAGGAGGGCTGCTGGCAAGCAAACTGAGCCAGTGACACCCGCCCCCCCCCCGCCCCCCCACAGACACACCAGTTTGCAATCGCTTGACATCACTAATTCCTCTTATGCCTCCCCAGGCCACCAGAATGGCCGGGGGAAATGCCTTCCCAGTCCCTGCCCGACCGGCCTCGGAGTGGGGCTCCACCAGGCCCTTGCTTTCGACCTCATGTCTCTGGCTTCAGTTTCCTTCCTGTTTCCACCGCCCCCCCCCCTCTCCTCCCCACCCATATGCCCCTTTCAACAGACATCCTCTCCTCCTTCCTTCCTCCTTTCCTCCCCCTTTGCCTGGGAACAGGGGTCCTCTCCCCCATGGACCTACTAGCCTTTTACCTCTTCTAAACACAGTCCCCTTGGAGATTCGTGACTAAGTCCTCTGCTCTGCCCTTCCCACCCCATGAGCAAGGCTCTGGGGAGAAGAAGAAAGAGCACAAGACTTCTCAAGGGAACTACAACTCCCAAGGTACATGCAAAGCAATTGTGGTGCATACTGGGAGTTGTAGTCCTCCTTGATCTCTCAATTTGGTGAAGTTTGGAAATGTTTCTGGATGGGAGTAAAAAGCTAGGACTGGGATGAATTGGAACATGGGTACCCTCTGAATCCCCCCACCTGGTTCTCACCATCCTGTTCCCCCGTGATACCATGTACCCATGATTGACGTCCATCGCCCCTTCTGAGACATGCTACCCATTCTTGTCTTAGGGCCCCACCCAAGAGATGCCCACACCCTGCCCTGCTGCCCCTGGCAGGGGTGACATGGAGGGGCCCCATGGACTCCCTCCCTGCCCCCTGCCCTCTAGGCTGGTTCCCTCCTTTATGGGGATCAAAGGGCAGACAACAGCCCCACCCCACTCCCTCGCAGGCCGCGGGCACTAGGGCTCCCAGGAATTGCAGGGACTTTGGTGCCCAAGCATTTGCTTGGGCAGGGGGAATGCTGGGAGGCTGGCGCCTGGTGGCAGGGGGAGACACTGGCCGCCGCCACCTTGGGGAATAGAGCCTTCAGTAACTGCTCATTGGGCTGTCCATCCCCAGCCTCCTGGGCTCGCTTTGTGCGGCCCTGGACGAACACTGCCTCTTGACGAGATGGCTTGAGAACAGGGTCTTGGGCCTTATCTGTCAGACCCAGGGGCCTGGGCCCGCCTGGCTGGCACCAAGGCACAGGGGTGACCCTCCCCCACCCCAGGCCCACAGTTGGCATGGGGCACTGGGAGCAGGGGGGTAGGAGGGAGAGGAGGGCACGACTGCCAGCATCCTGGTGGGTAGGTGCCAACCGGGCCGGGAGCTGGTGAGGGGCAGCAGGCCAGCGGCATTGAGCCAGCAGCTGTTGGGGGGAAAGGGGAGGGGATATTTTGGGGGGCATTTCTGTGGTCCCCCCCAACCCAGCAGGACTTGGGATGGCCTAATATATAGGGGACACCAGGGCGCTCCTCATTCCAGGAGGAAGAGACCCCAGGAGTTGTTTAAGTGGAACTTGGTGGCCCACCCATCTCTGGGCTCAGAGCTCTCCTGAGTTGCCCCTCAGGCCCAGGCGGGTCCCACCCAACCGGCCAGGGTGGCAGCGGCTTGCGCAAGGGGTGGGGCTAGGCGCTTCCCAGCAGATGCCCCCTCCCGGCTCCTTCCTCTTTCGGTGCCCACAGCTCCCCCCATCTGCCCACCCCCCTCAGGCCAGCTCTGTCCCCCTGACCCCCCTGGCCATTGGGGGCTGGCATGAGTGTTGCCCCCTGGCCTGGTTGGCAGGGGCTGGCGCCCAAGCAAGGAACTGTGGTATGTGAGTGGGTTTGGGGTGAGGCATGGGGAGGGCGGGGTGCTGCCTTGCCCAGCCCCTGAGGGCCCCGGCCCAGTGCAGGGTGGGGAGAATTCGGCCAGCTCCCAGGGGGCGCCGAGGGGCCTACTGGGGTCTGGAGGGCCTCCTTGTGGTCCTCTATGACACCACATGCCCTGAGGGGCTGGGATCTGGGCACCTGTCACCCCTGGCACTGACTGTCCAGGGTTCCCCTCCTCCCTCTCCTGGCCACTGCCGCCTCCTGTCCCTTCCCCTCCCTTCTTCCTTCTCCTGGTCCCACCTCCAGCAGCCTCTCCCTGTGCTCCTCCTCACCTCTGTCCTCCTGGACTGTCCTAGCTCCTACCTTTCCTCTCGTTCACCTTTTTCCCCTTTCAGGACTGAGTAAGGACTGGCGGGGGTGGGTACAGCTGGGGCTTCAGGCACCACAGGCAGAGTCTAGGCCCTCTCCCACGCTGCCAGCCCTCTGGTAACCCCTCCCTCCAAGCTGGGGGGAGGGGGGGACAGCACCCAGAGGGTTAAGGCTCTAGGGGGGAGGGGCTGGGCCAGGTCGTGGGCGGCCCCTTTGAAGGAGGGAGCTGGAGCGGGGAACAGCCACCCTACCTACCCCCCAGCCAGGCCCTCCCCCACCCCTCCCAACCTGCTCCCCCCCAGGGGCCAAGAGGAGTTACCGGCAAGGCCCCTCCGCGTTCAGGTGAGTAGGCCCCGCTCTGGCTTGGGAGATCAGGCCCCAGGGGAGGCCTGGAGGCCTAGAATTAGCCAAGGGTCAGAGAGGGACTGAAAAACAGGCTAGGAAGAGGGTGTCCACACCTCACTGGGGGGTTTAGGGATCTAAGGTTCTGAGGAGCTGGAGTGTGGAGAAGCTTCAGCGTCTAGGGGACGCAGGAGGACAGCAGAGCAGAGGAAGGGGCCTACAGGAGCCGCGGGATTGCTGGGCCAGGACAGAAGGTTGGACAGGCTGGCAGGGAGCCGGGCTCCGGGGATCGGGCTGGGGTGTCCTCTGGGGCTGGGGGGGCTCAGGTTTCTGCTGTCGGCTTGGCGGGTGTGGGGTTACCAGCCGGCTCGGTTACCCAGCTGGAGACACTAGGCTGGGGGGAGGGGGTGGGCACAGGGCAGACCCTGGCACCTTGTGCCGTCTCCTTAGGCCCTAAGGGGAGCTGGCAATCCCAGGCAGACCCCGCTGGGAACCCTGATGGCCAGGGTCTGGCCAAATGCACAGTGGCCCGGCCCAAGGTGGGCACCTCCGGGGAAAGTCCAGCAGCTCCAGGGCTGGAAACTCTGACGGGCAGAGAGGCCTAGGTTGTCCTCACCACTCCACCTCACATCCGCTCTCACCGTACCCCCCCACACCCGTCCTCCCCAACTGGCCCCCAAATTTTGGTTCTGTGCTTCATCCAGAAGGGGGGCATGGGTACCCTAAATGCGGTCATCCCATGGCAAGACTAGGCCTTGGAGGGCGGGCCAGCCTCTTTGATTTAGTTCCTCTGCCCCTCACTACAGACACCAAGCCTGCCCGGCGAGAAGAGGAGGGATGCTTGGAGTCAGGCTAAATGGAGAAAGTGGGAGAGGCCTGAGAGAGAGAACTGGAAGGAAAAAGAGAGGAGAGGTGGGGATGGTTCCTAGGAGACCTCAGGACACAGATGTGGTAAAGGAGGCAGGAGCTTGGCAAAGGACGAAGGGAGGAAAGCCGAGGGTGATGGCGGAGAGGGGACAAGGGTCAGAGAAGGCACTTAAGGGGACGGAAGAGGAGGCCAAGAAAAGGGGCCAAGAGTGCAGAGTGGCTGCTGGGTTTGGGTCCCCCACGGTAAAGGGGGGGAGGCTGGGGAAGAGGGAGGTGCCCCCATTCCTTCCGCCATCTTTTATCTCCCTCATCGTTCCTGATGCAGCCTGAGAGGCTGAGGGCTCGGGCTGGTGTCATGGAAAGAAAGTGTGGGGAGCACTGAGGTCTCCCTCGTGTCAGGAGTCCCGGTACCAGGAATTGGAGATTTTGAGGGAGGCAAGGCTTAACCCCCACGGCACCGGGAAGCAGCCAGCTCCCCTACCTCCTTCCCCCTTCGTGGCTTGCGGTCTCTCTTCCCCTCTCTTCCCCGCCTAGGCCCCCAGGAAGTGTGAGTGCTGGGGGTGGTGAGGTTAGGAGGGGGGGAAGCGGCATATGGGGGATGGGGAAGTCGTGCACTAGCTTTGGAGGGGCTGGAGTGGGGAAAGGAGGGCTCCGAAAATGCCTTGGGCATCCCCGGGCCGAGGGCCTCTCCTGCGAAGCCCTTCCAACCCGCCAGGGGATACACCTCAGCCCCTTACCCTGCCTTCCCAACTGGGCAGTCCAGATGGCTTCAGCCCCGGGGCCCCAGAGGCCCTGGGAAGGGGTGGGAGAAGCTGGGGAACTCGGATTCCTGGGTCCCCGAGGACTTGGGACTAGCTGTCCTATTTCTCCACCCCCTGGTCCAGCCACAGGCCAGAGCCCTGGCTTCGTGCAAACCTAGCTAGCGCCAAGAAAACAGGAAGAGAACCTGAGGCTGGAGTTGGGGTGGGAGTTGGGGGATAGAAAGGAGAAAGAAGTTAAGGCGGAGGGGTGGCCCGCCAAGGTTGGGGGGACGCACCACGAAGAGCCCCGGGTCTCTCCATCACTCCCGGCAGGAGGATGTCACAGCCTGGTCCCCATCCTCCCTCACCTCAAGCTGCTGCACCTGGAGCAGCCTGGCCAGGCCCCTCTCAGGCTCCCTGGCAGAGCCTGGAGGTGGGGGCCTTAGAGCCTGGGGAGGGGGGGCTCTGTGTGCCTGTGTCTCAGGCCCATATCTATTTTCTCCGCTGCTAATCCTGGTTCTGTCTGCTGCCCCCCACACTAAGCCTCACTCCCCTAATCCCCAGGGGGTGGGGAAGGGGGGCCAGCTTTACTCAGCCGCCCTGTTCAGGGCCTCGTATCCCTGCTCTTCAGCTGGCCCGAGCTAGCAATGTTGGCCCTGGTGCCCCCAGCCCTGCGCTGGACGCTGCCTGAGGTCAGCCCTGGAAAGAGTTCCAGCCTCCTTTTCCTTTCCAAGCCAGGCCAGCGCCCTCTGCCTTTTGGTTTCTTGGTGGTGGACACACCCTGGCAGGTGCCCTTGGGTACCGAGGGGTAGGTGATAGGGGCTCCCTCCTTTGCCCCCCTCCCACCTTCTTACCCTAAAGTCTTCCCCCCACCAAAGATGGGGCAGGCTTGACTCAGGGCCCAGTTTCAAGAGAGCTGCCCACTGGCCTGGCCGGTCTAGCAGGCCTGACAGTGAGGGGAGCCTGGGGGGGTGGCGGGAAAGGGGGGAGTGATGGGGCGGGGCCCCAGTTCTTCCCCCTACCAGGCAAACAGACCAAACAGACCTCGCCTGGTTCCCTGGCACAGCTGCCCCCCCAACCACCACACACGCCCATGCCCACAAGGTCTTAGCAAGAGGGGGCATGCCAGGCTGGGTGGGGATGGGCCGCCCTCATGGGGCGTCAGGGGGCTGGGCCCTCTGGGATGCAGAGGTGGGAAGGGTGCCCAAGATGGGGTGGGCATCCTGGCACCAGTGCCCCACCCTGGCAGAAAGAAGGGGGAGGTCTCCACCCTCCCCACCCCTCCCAGAAGATGGGGATAGGAGTGCCCCCTTGGCCTGGTTGGCACCAGCATAGCTCCAGGTGGCACCTAAGTTGGCATGGGTGCCAGAGCCCTGGGTAAGGGCTGGGGGAGTTTCCCAGAAGCTAGAGAACCGTATGAATACCTACCCTTCCCACGTGTGTCCTCTGCCTCTCCCCTCCTTCATTGCTACCTCATGGACATGGGCATCGGTGTTGGGCCTAAGGGGTTAAACACCCACCCTTGCCCAAGCCCGGTGTGAGTTGGGTGGTGAACCAGCCTGAGCCTGTGACCCGACAGCAGGGTCAGCCAATCAGCGTCCCCACCACACCAAGTTGCCACAGAGACTGACTGGCCCTGGGGTGGGAGAAAGAAGGCGGGCTTAGCAGCAGGAATGGGTAGGGTGGGGAGGAAAGGAGGGAGAGGGATGGGGTGAGCCACGTGCCTGCGGGTGCCCAGCTTCTGGCCAATGGGCAGCGAGGACAGCCCCACCCATCCCTTTCTGGAGGGACAGGATCCGCTTGGGCCCAGGAGGGTGCCCACTGCTGCTTAAGTGGCCACTGCTGCCGCTGCCGCTGCTGCCACTGCCCACCGGGTTTCTGTTTGTTCCTGAACCCTGGAGCCATTTGCCACTTGTACTATTTGTAAAGTGCAGGCGGGAGAACCAAAAGGAACTGGGAGAATGCCCACAGGGCTTGGCCCCCAGGGAGAGAAATGATTTGGGGACTTAAGGTGGGGATGGGTGGACTATTCTCAGGGTACATAGGTGTGGCTTCTAAGCAAAGCTTGTGAGGGCACTGCTCAGGCAAGGCTTCCGTGCAACAGTCCTGGCGTTGCAAAGAAGGTGGAAGGCAGGGAGGCACGGAGACAATGCAGTTCTTGTGTCCTAAAGAGGAAACTTGTGGCCCTCCACCAACCCCCCCCCCACCCAAAAAAAATACCTTTCCCCATCAATGGCCAGGTCTGAGCAGCTGTTGGGAGTAGCAGAGAAGACACTGTTAGAATGTCAGTAGGACTTGTCCTAAGGATCACCTAGGTCAGTCTTTAATCTTATAGATGGAGGAAACAGGCCTCCTCGGGATAGGGGGATAGGAAGTGACTTGTCCAAGGTCATGAGCTAATAGTAACCTGACTCCCTAGGGGTGATGTGAGGGAGGGAGGCAGACCTGTCCCCAAGTAGATTTTCCAGCAGGGGCCACCTGTACAGTGGAATCTGCCCTTAGGTGAGGCCTTGCTTCTCCCTCCCAAGGCTGGAGCATTTACTGAGCCCCTACTGTGTGTCAGGCGCTGTGCCACACTGTCCCCCACCACCCCGGGAGTCAGGTGGAATTATCCCATGGCGTGGATGAGGAAGGAGGTGCCGAGATTAAATCACTTGTTTAAGGTCACAGAGCTAGGCAGCGCAGAGTGAGGATTCAAACTCAAGCCGGGCTGACTCCAGAGCTCAGCTCTTTCCAGGCCCCAACTCTGTCTCCAGTTGCTCCAGACCCACCAAATGTCAGGGCCAAAGGGCTGGAGCCCTTGGGGCTTCCACTCCCACCCGCTCCGTGTACAGCTAAGGAGATGGAAGCACAGAGAAAAACGACTTGCCCAAGGTCATTCAGCAAGCGCACAGCAAAGCCAGGACCTGAAGCAGATCTCCCCACCTCCAGGCCAGACTCAGCCTTGGGATCGCTGGCAGCTCGACGCCTTCTGCCACTGTTCCTTGGGGAGGGGGGAAGCATAGAGGTTGGAAGATGGCGCTCTGGAGAGGTGGGGGGCTCTCCTGACCGGCCAGGAATGGGGAGGGAGAGGTGGTGGTGGTAGGTAGCAGAGGTGGAGAGGGGTGGGACTGGAACTTGGCCTATTGGCAGTGGGGGAGGGGGCGGGGACGATGCTTATCTGTGCGGGGCAGGAAGCACCCGCGCCAGCGACACCCCAGCAAAGGCAGAGGCAAAGGGTGGCTGTTCCTTGGCCTCGTGGGGGAGGGGAGGGTGTGGGGGGCTGCTGGGAGCTGTGTTTCCCTTTTGGCTTCTAGAAGGGGAGATGCGTTTCGGGTGGCAGGGGAGGGGCCGGGGAGCTGCCTCTGCTGTTTGCGCTGCGTTTTACAGTGCACCCAAGTACTTTAGGGCCATAACTCGAGTCAGAGCACCTGACCGGGCCTCCAGCAGACCTTGGTCCAGTGTGAATCTGAAACCTCACTGGCCTCTCTCTGGGCTGTGACAACGTTCCATCAGCTACCCCACTTTTCAGAGGACTGAGGCTGACTGCCAGAGCCACCTAGAGTCCTTCAGCCAATTCTTTATGAAGCCTGAACCAGGACTCAAGCATCGTCTGTCCCAGTCCAGGGCTTCTTCCAAGGGATGAGGGATGGGGCCCTTGCAGCAGATGGATGTCCAGGCAAGGGTTAGGAGGTCAGGTCTCCTGCCCTCCCCAAGGCTGCACAGTGCACACTGGTAAGGAACTCTGGGCCCCCTGCCTGGGTTGTGCCTCATTCTGCACTGAACTTGGAAAGTCACTTCCCATCTGTGCCTCAGGTTCCTTGTCTGTGAAATGGACGATAAGTGTCACTTCCGAGGATTGTGGAAGAGTCAATGGGTGTATAGTGTTTCCAGGAGTGTCTGCGCGTCGCATGAGCCTTGGCCAATGTTGCTTCTCCTTCCCTGGGCCCCCTTTGCAGGGCGGAGCGCTCTTAACCTCCCCTCTCTGCTTGACCTTGCAGGAGAAGATGGGGAGCCCAGAGGACGACCTGATTGGGATTCCATTCCCGGACCACAGCAGTGAGCTCCTGAGCTGCCTCAACGAGCAGCGCCAGCTGGGCCACCTCTGTGACCTCACCATCCGGACGCAGGGCCTGGAATACCGCACCCACCGGGCCGTGCTGGCTGCCTGCAGCCACTACTTCAAGAAGCTCTTCACCGAGGGCGGTGGCGGAGCGGTCATGGGCGCTGTGGGCGGCGGAACGGCCACTGGGGGAGCAGGGGCCGGCGTATGCGAGCTGGATTTTGTGGGGCCGGAGGCTCTGGGGGCCCTGCTCGAGTTTGCCTACACAGCCACACTGACCACCAGCAGCGCCAACATGCCAGCGGTGCTGCAGGCCGCCCAGCTGCTGGAGATCCCGTGTGTCATCGCCGCCTGCATGGAGATCCTGCAGGGCAGTGGCCTAGAAGCCCCCAGCCCTGACGAGGATGACTGTGAGCGAGCCCGCCAGTACCTGGAGGCCTTCGCCACAGCTACAGCCTCGGGAGTTCCCAATGGTGACGACAGCCCTCCGCAGGTGCCCCTCCCACCGCCGCCACCGCCACCGCCGCGGCCTGTGGCCCGCCGTAGCAGAAAGCCTCGAAAAGCTTTCCTGCAGACCAAGGGGGCCCGGCCAAACCACCTCGTGCCCGAGGTGCCCGCAGCGCCCACCCATCCCTTGGCCTACGAGGAGGAGGACGTGGCAGGCAGAATGGGCAGCAGTGGGCTGGGAGACAACTACAGCCCTCCCACGGGGACGGCCTCACCCCCCGAGGGACCCCTGAGCTACGAGCCCTATGAAGGCGAGGAAGAAGAGGAGGAGCTGGTATACCCCCCGGCCTATGGGCTGGCGCAAGGCGGCGGGCCCCCGCTGTCCCCAGAGGAGCTGGGCTCAGATGAGGACGCCATCGACCCTGACCTGATGGCCTACCTAAGTTCCCTGCACCAGGATGTGCTCACACCAGGCCTGGACGGCCCAGACAAGCTGGTGCGTAAACGCCGCTCTCAGATGCCCCAGGAGTGCCCCGTCTGCCATAAGATTATCCATGGGGCAGGCAAGCTGCCACGCCACATGAGGACCCATACGGGTGAAAAGCCCTTCGCCTGTGAGGTCTGCGGTGTCCGCTTCACCCGGTGAGCACCAGTGGGGAAGGGGTGCGGTGGGGGGGAGTTATGAGACCTGATGGGAGGAGGTAGGTGATCCTGGAGGGTGTGTGGGGGGTGTTACTAGAGAGAGACCAGGAGAAAGGAAGTCACTGGGGTGGGGCGTGGGGGACACCTGGGCAGCAAAGATTTGGTGTCCAAGGAGGCTCTGCTGAGAACAGTCAGCAAGGGTATCCTGGGACAATAATGGGGACACTCATGGGGAGGGTCAGGGGTGGGACAAGGCCTGGGAGCCCTGTGGGACGGGCTCCTGAGCTCAGGACCCCCGTCCTGATGGTCCCCTCCCCCCTGCCGTGCCAGGAACGACAAGCTGAAAATCCACATGCGGAAGCATACCGGAGAGCGCCCGTACTCGTGCTCGCACTGCCCAGCCCGCTTCCTGCACAGCTACGACCTCAAGAACCACATGCACCTGCACACGGGGGACCGGCCCTATGAGTGCCACCTGTGCCACAAGGCTTTCGCCAAGGAGGACCACCTGCAGCGCCACCTCAAGGGCCAGAACTGCCTGGAGGTGCGCACCCGGCGACGCCGCAAGGACGATGCGCCCCCGCACTACCCTCCGCCCTCCGCCGCCACCCAGTCCCCCGCTGGCCTGGACCTCTCCAATGGCCACTTGGACACCTTCCGCCTCTCGCTCGCTCGATTCTGGGAGCAGTCAGCCCCCACCGGGCCCCCGGTCTCCACCCCGGGGGCCCCCGATGACGACGAGGAAGAGGGGGCACCCACCACGCCTCAGGCCGAAGGTGCCATGGAGTCCTCTTAAAGACGGACGATTGGCCAGGCTGGAGCAGCACAAGGCCAGGGCCGCCCATGCCAAGCAGTGGGAGCGCGCGCACGCGGGACAGACAGAGCTGGGGTCGGGGCACTGTGAGCCTCCCTGGAATCAGAAATCAGCCCCTTCTCCCCAGAGCCCTCATTCCAGTGCCCAGCTGAGAAGGTTTTGGGGCAGAGGCTCCCCAGATTGGGGTGATCTCCCAAGGAGTGATCCATATATTATGTATATATTTACAGCTCTATTGTAAAGGTGGGGTCCCTGTCCCCAGCTGCTCCTGGGGAGTAGAAGCAATAATGTTATTTCTGATTTGTGGGGCCCCTCTTCGGCTATGCGGGTTTCTAGGGGGTGGGGGGCTTGGGACCAAAGCCTTGCCCTGCCCCCACACCCCTTGGGGTTTTGGCTGTGTAAAGGGGTGAAGGACTGCCCCTCCCTTCCGAGACCCCTCCTTCCTGGTTTCTGTTCCCTTTTCCTGGCAGTGAATTATGCAAAGGGGGGCCGGCAGCAGAAGAGTAGGTGGGGGAAAGCAAGGTGGAAGAGGCTTGAAGGACCGGGGACTGGGCCTGTAAGGAAGGAGCCATCCAGTCCCCCTCCGCCCTGCTCCCAGCGCTGAGTCATGGGGTCCTGGAGCAGAAGGGGGCGGGGTGGCCTGATTGGCTCGCCCGCCTGCCCCTGGGGGCAGCGGGAGGGCCCCGCCCAGCTAGGGGTGCCGCTCACCCTTCTCCTCCCTGGCCCTCCCCTCCCCTCCCGCGTCCCCGGGCAGGGAATGTCTTGTTCCCGCCGCTCCCTCCTCGGGGCCAGAGGGCAGGGCGGGCTGGGCGGTGTCCTACCCTCTTCTCCTCCCCACCTCCTCCCCGCCCAGGTGCGAGCCGGAGCCGCCACCACCACTGCCGCCCCTGACTCACGCCGCCCCCGGGCTGGCGCTGCGCAGGGTGTGGGACAGGGTGAGGGGTTGGGGGTGCCGCGCGCGGAGAGCGGGCGAGCCGGCGCCATCTGGTGGCCGTGCCCCGCGCGAGCGCCCCCGGCGGCCACTTGGCCTTGGTCACCTCAACCACCCGGCGGGCGAGCTGGGCCCCCTTGCCAAGGCGGGCGCAGAACTCTTGGGGGCCGCTGGGAAAGCGGGCTGCGGAGCTGTGGGAAAGGGATGCTTTTCCCAGAGTTTTAACAGCCAGGCGCCCATTCAGATCAGGGAGAAGAACCCTCTCCCGCTTCTAAGACCGAATCCATCCACCCCCTTCTGTACATAGCCTCTTCTGTTGGTCTCGTTGGAATCTAGTTTCAGATTTTTAACTACCCAATTCTGCTGGGGGTGGGGCATCTCCCCCTCCCCTTCCTCGCTGGGTGCTGGACCCCCGTGGCGGCCTGGGCTCTGCCTTGCACTATTCCCCCCTCCCTGGCCTGGCGGCCCCGCCCCCTCCTTAAAAGGGGCAGGTTTAGGGGCCCGGTGCTCTCCCCCCTTCCATCCAACCCCTTGCCCATTTGCACAGCTGCCCAGGTACCCCCAATAGTGGGGGGGGTCACAGGGAGGGGGTAGCGGGACCAGTCCCTGTATCTATTTAAAAAATGATGATGTAATATATTGGGGTAGGGGGAGGTCGGGTTGCCCTGGGCCTCATCTTAGCATTTCAGGTGATGGGGGAGCCCAGGGCTGGGGAGACCTGGGGCCTAGCCCCAGGGAGTGAGGACGATGTGGCCTCCCCTCTCCCCCCTCACGGCTTCTCCACTCAGTGCCTTAGGGGGGGAGGCAATCCCCCCTCTCCTGTTCCCCTCCCCTTCCCCCGACCCCTCCTCCCCCACCTCGGGTGTAAGAGACAGGAAGAAATAATAATAATTTAAGATTCACACTGTGTCTACCTTTGGTTCCTTTATTCGGAGGTAGGTGGGAGGGATCCGGAGGAGGAGTGGGGGGCAGTTCTGAAGCTGGGGAGGGGCTGCTTTGGGGGCAGAGGACTTCCGACGCGAAAAGGCATGGGAATGCTGACAAACCCCGCCTTAGGTAGGCCCCACGGCCTGTGCCGCCTCTGCCTGGGCCCCTTCTCCTCGTCCAGGTCACTAGTGAGGCGAGCAAGGGGGTGGTCCGGTTAGTCACCAACATTCTGTTCTTGCGGGCGCATTCCTGCCCCCTGTCCCATCTGTTCAGATTTGCCTCCTGTTATGCACCAGCCCCGAGTGCTCTCAGGCCCCCAGGCACAGCAGCCACGCTGCTCTGGACATCAGATTTCTGGCTGATGCTGAAAGCCCAGCGGGCAATGACTTGCCCAAGGTCACGTGGCTAGTGAGGGCAGAACCAGTAGTGACCTCAAGATAATACCTGGTCAGGGTTCAAGCTGCCCCCTCTGGCGACCCAGCTTTGAACTCCACTGAGCCCTCAGGAGCCTCTGGAAATGAAGCCACTCTTCCCCTATCCTCTCATCACTACACCCAGTCCCCTCACGTGGAATGTGCCCACTGGACACTCCTCCAGTGGGGGCTGCTTGTCTCAAACCCTGTTGGCCCATGGCATTTTGCAAAGCCCCTGACTGCCATGGCAGCAGCACCACTGGGGCTGTGACTGGCTCCTCAGGCCTCCCAGACGCCCTGCCACAGCCTTCCAGGGCGCCATCCCAGACTGGCTGCTTGTGTGGCCCAGCCGCCTTCTCCCTGGAAGACTCATCTCTCTGGCCTTTTCTGTCCTTGTCTTCCTTGGCCCTGATGACCTAATGACCTCCGCTCCCACTCGGACATCCGCTTCAACTTGGCCACTCCCTGGATTTATCCCAGAATTCCCTAGCTGTGGCTCGTTCTGTCTGTCCCTCCTGGCCCCTGCCCCTGCTCTGACACCTCCTGGACTGCGTCCTGAGGTCGCGGGCCCTTCTCTTCCCCAAGGCCTGTCACCTCAGACACTTACTGAAGGCACCCCAGTTCTCTCCCCATCTCGTCCTTCCCCCGACCCACCCAGAAAAAGCCCGCACCCCTCAAATCCTGTCCACGGCTACCATAATAGCCCAAGAAAACCACAAAAGCACACCCGTCAGCCATCGCAGGTTATGGTTTCCAACACCACTGGGGCTTTTAACGCTACCTGGAAACCCCTTAACCTCCCCTCTCAGCTTCGTTGCACACTCCTCCACCACTCACTCCTGGAAACCTGTATTCCACTCCCAGCCCCTCCTTTGCTCTCAGCAGGCGCCCTTGCCTCCTACTCCCCAGAGAAAAGCGAGCCCACCGGACTGGGGCGGGCTCAGCTCTGCACAGGGGAACTGGCCTGTCACCTCCTGCATAGGGCAAGCACCCCCTATCCAAGGCCACCTTGTCCACCTGGCCCCAGATTCCACCTCTCTTCAACGCTCTCTTTCACCCCCTAAATGCTCACATCTCCCTATCCGTGGATAAAGAAAGATTCTTCCGTGCTAGGTCCCCTTCAAGCTACTCCCTTGCGTGAAGCCAACCTTCACCACCGAGCTTCCCGTTTTTTTAACCACAGCAGTGATATTGTAAAAAAGAATTCTCGAACGTCTTGCAAGTGATACAGAGCCTTACACCATTTCTGTTTCTGAGTCTTTTCTATCAGTCACCCCTCAACCCGTTATGCTTTGGGCTTTCCTGGTGCCACAAAAGAAACGTTCCCGCCAGCCACGCCAATGATCTCTCAACCGCCAAATGTAATGGCGGCCTCCAGTCCTCATCCTCCCTCATCATCTCGGCGTTTGATATGCTTGGCTCTCTTGGATTCTTGAGCTTCACCCTCCTCGACTTGTGACTGAGCCCCTCTCCATTCCTAATATGCTCTCCGCCCTCCTGCAGTTTCTAAGTAAACAACCCCCCACATACAGCTGCAGCCCAGAGCCCTGCCCTTTTCTCCCTGTCCCCTGGGCATTTCCAGTTGGATTCTCTACAGATGCCTCAGAGGCCTCAAACGGCCATTCCTCTTTCCTGAGACCTGTCCCTCTCTGGCTCTAACACCTGCCCAGCCCCAAACATAAACTCCCAGTCACTGTCAGCAGCTCAGTCCTGAGGCCACCACTGACTCCTCCGAAACTAAGACAGCCTCCTCTCTGCCTTCTTAGCTTCTTGTCTTAAAAGACAAATATGAGCGTGTCACTTTCAGGCCTAGGATGTTCAGATGGCAACTCAGGCCTCTCCCGTCTCTCCCCACCTTGACTTCCACTCTCATCTCCCAGTGTCCTCTGAGGTTTCCACCCAGACGCACCCCTTCAGCAGGCTCCTCCAGGGCAGGGGTGCTGACGCAGAGCAGGCACTCGGCAGACCTCCGTCCCGTCATCTCTTATGTCCAGCTCTCCCAGAGGACTGGGCCCCCAAGAAGCCCTTTGTAAATGTAATAACGTGCTTAGGCCTCCCGGGCCCCAACCCCTGCTTTCTGCTCACCTGAACTCAGAGCTGGACTCTGACGAGAGGGTCCTGCCCAGAGCTTCTTGGAGCCGTTGCCGCAGTAACACCTCCTTCGCGGGGTCCTTTCTTCGAGCTGCAGCCAACCATAGCCGGGGGCCCTCGTCATCACTGGAGTCCCTGGAGAAGCCCCCCATGTCAGATGTCCTGGGGGAGGGGTGGCTGCTCCCACTGCCCCCACAGCCTCCCGGTCTCCATAGAGACTCACAGTTCCAGATCCAGCTCTCCCTGGTAGGAGAGGGGAGATGCACACACAGAGCAGGTGTTGTCCAGGAGGCCGAAGCAGGTGGGGCAGAAGAGACCTGGAGGGGACCAGGAGTGAAGGTGAACTTGAACTTACCCCCCCTCCCAGCCCCCCCCCCCACTGTGCTCCCTTGCTTCCTCCCTAAGCCACGCCTGGGGTGACCATCCTTGTCAAGCAGTGCACACTAGGGAATTTCTGCAATATAAATTCTGCTCATGTGGGAGAATTAAGGCAAATATGGAGAAAGGGAGCTACCTGAGGGTTCTATGGAAAGGGAACATGCATAGTAATGAAGGGAGGGGTACAAAGGTGGGTCCAGGAGCCGTCTCTAAAGGAAGGACCACAGTCGATTTAATAGCAAATGTAGCGAGCCTCAGCAGGGAGAGGCAGAGTGCCCAGGAATCTCACCTCGGCAGCCCGGGGTACTGCAGGACACGAAGCTCTCCATGGCCCCCTCGTCCTGGGGCTGCCCACAGCCCAGGCAGTAGATGTGGGGCTGCCAAACGCAGCTGATAAACGGCGCCAGGCAGAAGCACCTGAGGACAGCGGGCCCAGACACTAAGCAGGCCAGCCCAGCCAGCCTAACCCTCCCCTCTTCAGCACCACCCTCCAAACCGAGGGTTGGCCTTCCTGCCGCCTAACCTCCATCCCTCTGACTGTAGCGACAATCTCTCTGGTTCTTACCCTCCTCGCTTCCCTCCCCACCGCTAAGAATGCTCATCCCTAATTCTCCCTCTCAGTGCAAGAATGGCATGGAGTGGGCGCCCTCTTCAACCGAACCTCCGGACGCTTAGGAAGGACAGTGGTCCATTCTGACCTCTGGCTCTTTTTCTGGCCCCTCTCACCCCACTCCTGTGAGGAAGGACAATGGGCTCACCGCCTGGCCAGCACCTGGAGGACACTCATCTGGCCCTGGTCAGCTGCCCGCCGCCTCGCTGCTCGGTGCAGGGCAGCAAACGGGTTGGATCGGCGGCTCAGAAGAACATTGTAGAGGTAGATGATCCTCTCCTGGGGAGGGCAGGTCAGGGATGGGGTCCTCTTGACCCTGCTTCGTCCGTCTGGCATGCCCTCTGCACCCATCCCCGCTTCCTACCTTTGCCTTCTGCCCAACTCCTCTGAGTGCATCTAGGCTGGGCTCAAATGCCCCTTCCTCTGGGAAGCCTTCTGAACTCCCCTGGGCAGTTACCCGTCCCCTTCTCTGGGTTTCCATAGCGCCCTACTCATTGTTTATGGCTTGTTCAGAGCCTGTCTGGCGGGCTTGGAGAAGGTGAGCTCAAACTGTGCTTCACCTTGGCATCCTCAAGGCCAGCAGACGGACTGACCTACAGTAGATGCTCAGTAAACCATTAGAAAACAAATGAGCAGGGCTGGCCGAGTGGCTCAGTTGGTTAAGAGCTCGCTCAAGAGTTTGAGCTCTGAGCAACAGCGGTTCGATGCCCGGCCCGGGCTGAGCAGCCGCTGAGCTGCCAACAGGTGGCAGGATGGCTCAGCTAAAAAAAAATAATAATAATAAAATAAAATAAGAAAACAAGTGAGCAGATGACGAGTTCCCACTCATACCTCCGCACGCCAACGCAGCCCCTCCCCCCATGGTTTTAACAGCAATTTGGAGGCAAGCTCTGTCTCAGGTTGCCCTGTGCCAGCAGGCCCCATGCCTCGCAGCCCTATCTGGGGTCCAGAGACTTATGGTCCAAGCAACCTTTGGGGTTCAGCCATAGGAGAGAGGGCTGGGGCTGCTGAAGGACTCAATGCTCCCCAAAACCAAGACCAACAGCCACGAGCTTAGTCCCCTGGGGAGGGGACAGGGACTGGCTGTGGGCCCCTCACCTGCTCCCGGAAGGGGTAGTAGGAAGCACAGATGACCCTCCGCAGCCGACTGACATAGCTGCCAAACAGGGTGATGAAGACGCATAGGCCATACATGACGCCTGGGGACACAGAAGGCACAGGTGCCACTGCCGGTGGGTGCAGGTGGCAACCACACCCCAGCAGCCTGCACCCCTCCTGCTCTGAGTGGCTGTTACCAATGACTATGTAGCCAGTGGTGTCAGGCTCCGAGGGACGCAGGAGACAGCGCCGGGACAAGACAGTGATGTTGCCTTGCTGCAGGACGTCAAATGCCGATACCAGATCCCGGAAAATCCTCCCAGAATAGCCATTGCCTTCCACGGTTATGGATACTAACATAGGGCCTGCACAAAGACACTGTGTGAGGGACACTCATGGCAGCTGCCTGCTCCACCGTGCAGGAAAGGCCACACCTCCTGGACGGTGGAGAGTGGAGCAGTGCAGGTCCTAGGGATGTCCCATGCCCTCAGCGAGGGGCCTTTGGTGTCCCAGGCACCCTCGTGGCACCTAGGCACCTGGCACCTAGGACTGGCTCTGTGGTGCAGAGCTGGCTGCCCCTGGGGCCTGGTCTGCCTGCCTAGGCCACCAGACCTGCGATGAGTGTAATGGTCAGTGACTCCATCTCCTGCCTCCACAACCACCCAGAGCATTTGCTTTAAAGCATTTACGAAGCACCGACCACGTAGCAGGCACGGACTAGGTGCTTTATTGTTTGGGGTATTTTTTTGCTTTTTCTGTTGGCCCTTTGGTACGTAGGATTACATTCATTGTATTCCTTGGTTCGCAGCACACTCTCAGTCAGTGGTTTGCCAGGCTGTCATGCCTGGTCTCATTCACTCCGAGCGACCCAGAGACGTTGCTGCCGTTATTATCCCATTGCTCAGACAAGGAAGCTGAAGCTCTGGGAGGTGAAGCAACTTGCTCAAGGTCACCCAACGGTAAGCGGCAGAACTGGGATTTGAACCCAGGCCAGTCTGATTCTACAGCTTGTGATTTTAACTTCTCTGTTATGGTATAACCTTGACCTGGACACGGGGCTTACCAGGCAGACAACAGAGTTGGAAGAGGGGCCAAGTCAGAGGCTGGTGAGTTACAGTGACATGGGGACATTCAGGCAGCTCCCCCAGGGTTGAGGAAGGTGGGGAGCATGCGGGAGCAGACCAAGGGGGCAGTGGCAGGGCAGGGAGGGAGGGTCAGGTGCTCACTGCGGGCCACCATCTCCCCCTGCAGCTCGTGCCGGGCCAGGTCGAGCACCCAGAAGACGGCATAGTCCAGGAAGACCAGGAGCAGCACGAGGAGGAGGTGCCGGATAAGGTGGAAGGTTGCCAGGATGTAAAAAATCTGCTCCCGCAGGGACAGGAACACGGAGCCTGGGTGGGGGAGGGATGAACAGGAGGATGCCCCCCAATTCTCTCACCCAGCAGGCCCCAGCCCCTGGAGAGATCTCTCTCCTGGATCGAGCCGGGGCCTGTGTGCCCATCTGGAAGGTATGGAGGCTGTGAGGACCCCAGGGCAGGGCAGGAAGCACTCTTCAAGGGCAGGGGCTCCGTGGCTGCAGGTGGAGGCCTAGCACCTGCACCTCGGCCCATGGCCCATTCCCAGTCTCCAGGAACCCTCCTTCCTGGGACCCCCTTACCTTACCCCCCAGTAAGAGAGGCAGCCGCCACCCCCAGGCTGCATCTCCTGCATGCTAGCACATCCACACAATCCTCCCCCCGCCACACCCCCCAAAGCCTTCCCAACTTCATTCACATCTTTGCTCCACCTCCATACCCCACCTCTCCTTCCCCCTGTCCTGACATCCAGGTGCTCCCAGAAGCATCTTCTGCTCCTTCTGTCTGCCTGCTGTGAGGGGCCCCCCTTTCCCACTGAGAGTTCCCCAAGGACAGGATGATGGTCCCCCTCCCCCGCCCCCCACCCCAGCCTGAAACTGCCCTAAGCTCTCGGTTGTCTCCCCTCCGCTCTGGTCCTGCGTAAGTTTATTAAGGGCAGGGCAATGGGGTTGGAGGAATCCCTGGCCTCCCTTCACGGCCCTCACCGGGCTGGATGTAATGTCTGGCCTCGTGGGCACTGAGCGGCAGCACTGTGGGCAGTCCCGCCGCGGAGCGGACAGCGTCCATGCGCAGGAATCGGCTGGTAATGTAGATGTTGTCGTAACTGTCCCAGTTCAGGTAACCGTACCGGTAAAACAGGGCTCTGGCGGAGCACACGCGGACGCTCCTCAGGACCCTGACCAGACCCCACAAGGCACCAACCTCCCCGCCCCGCGCCCTGCCCCAAACTCCAGCCTCCCAGGACGCGGCGGGGGTAACCTGGCCCCGCCCCCGCCCCGCCCCTCACTGGAGGTAAAGAAGCACTAGCAGCAGAGGCGTGGTGTAGCCCATCAACGCCAGCGCCTCCCGGACGCGGTACAGCTTCATGCTGACGGCCTCGTGGAGGTCCAGAGCGACCTGGGACAGGCTCCGAGAGGCATTGAGATCCACAGAGAAGTGGTGGGTGGCTGTCACGTTGAATTCGAACTCTTGACGCACCCGGTTAATCAACTTCTTCACAGCTGGGTCCGGGAGACGGGAGATGCAAGCAAGGACAATTAGGAGAGGACAGAGCTGTGCCTCGGGGAGGGGCGTGGCGCAGCCCAGGGGCTGCACAGCTCACAGACCAGCCAGGACCCCCAGTGTTCGGACCTATGGCGGACTGAGGAGGGGAGGAAGCTTCCACAAGCTGGGCCATTGCACTGCTCATGCTCAGCGCCGGCATTCCGTCTCCACAATGACCTGCCCAGGCCCAGGAGGCCCTGGCTCTCCCCCAGCTCCCGCTCTGCAATCGAGCTTCCCCGAGGCTCCTCCCCTTCGCTGGGCCTCAATTTCCTAATCTGCACAGCACCGCCATTGGCCCAGGTAACCTCCTGAGGGCCTCGGGGGCTGGCAATGGCCATATGGCGCTGAGGGAGGGAGACCTCCTGGCAGGGCTCAGAGGGGTCACTCACGGGTGCTTATCGTCTTGCGCAAGAAGGGTTGGATGTACGTGGGGACGATGCAGAACACCTGGACCACTGAGAGCCAGAGGCTGAGTGTCAGGAGAGGTCGAGAGACGCGGCCTGCCTCTCCCACCTCCAGCGACCTTGTTCTCACAGGGCCTCCTCCACCTTTTGCGTTCCCTCCTCTACCTTTTGCGTTCCCTCCTCTCCTCCATATTTGACTCAAAGCCTTTTGGCGTCTCCCTATTACCCCACCCCCACCCCATACTAGCCCAGCATCCTTATTGGCCCCATATTCCTCACCTCCTATTGGTGTCCCTGAGGCCGTCCTCCTACTGACCCCACATTTTCCAGGCCCCCAATCTTGCCGGTGGCCCCCGGGCTTGCTCACCGCTGGCAAGTCCACAGAGCACCAGCTTGAAGGGCATCAGCACGTAACACAGATGGTAGGCTTGCGGTATGACCTTCATGCAGCTGTCTTTGGCGTCATCGAAGACCCGTGCACACTTCAAGTAAGGGTTGCCCAGCTCCGAGTTGCAAACGTCTCCGATGTGCAGGAGCCAGTACCACACGTTGCGCAGGGCCCTGGCTGGGGACAGCGTTGGGGCTCGTACCCAGGGCCAGGCCTGCAGCATCTTCTCAGGGGCTTGAGGGACAGCAGGATAGCCCCCCAGAGCTGGAGAGGCCTGAGACCAGGGGCCTGGCTGTGCTGTATCACCGAGGACCAGTCAGGACCCAGGAGGGGCCCAGAAAGTCCTGGACAAGGGCAAGGGTGAGGAGACTGGGTGAATTTTGAGCCCCCGCCCCACCAAACATGTGCTAATGTGCTGACCTACATGCTTCACGCCATCCATGATTGACCGAAAGAACTTGCGGACCTGATCAGCCACCTCTTTGGCCTTCTGGGCAATGGCTTTAATCTTGTTCAGGGCACCTGAGAAGCAGGGGGCGGGGGCACTGTGGAGTCTCCTCCTCCAGGTGCTAATTCTCACCATTACCCCCTGGGGTAGGGAGTGAAGAGAGGACTGCCACTTGGAGGTAGGAACCCTAGACAATTGGGTCTGGGACATAGCTAGTCTGGCAGCGGGGTAGGCCAGAGAGCACCATGAAGGGGTCTAGCTGGGCGCTTTGAGGTTGGGACCCAGGACCAGCAGAGAGGTATGAAGCCAGAGGACCGTCGAACACACAGGACAAGGAGACACGGGGCCAGTGGGAGATAGGAACCTTACTGACAAGGGGCTGCTTAGCCCGCTCCAGCATTTCGGCAGTCTGGTTCAGGGCCAGCTCGGCCCCACAGGCCACGGCCTCACTGGTCCGGGAGAAGTTGCGAAGGGTGTTGGCACAAGGCCCTTGCAGCACCAACCCAAAAGCAGCCACCAGCAGCAGTGTCCGACTCTGCTCTGGGGAGGGGAGGGCAGCTGCATCACAACCAGGACCCCAGCCTTGCACATGGCAGCACGTCCAAGTCCCTGACGGAAGCCTTCCGAGTATTTCCCTCCACCCAAGACCCTTCCTGCCCCAGCCCTGCCCCAACCTTGCCCCTGCCCTGCCCCAGCCCCAGCCCCTGCCCCTCCCATCAGGTACCAAGCTCACTGGAAAAGGCCTGGGGCAACAGCAGGAGGACGGTGACTCTGACCTGGCGGGAGAACCCCATGCCCAGGCTGAGGAAGGCAGCCAGAGTCAGGGTGCCCACCAGGCATCCCCAGGGGCTGTGCCCTTCCACCAGCAGCTCCAGGAGCCCATAGGCTGTCGCCAAAGACAAGCCCAGGCTGAAACCCCCCAGGCTGCGGACCACCGCCCTTGCGGTACTTAGGTCCTCTGCCCCCGAGGGGCGTACAACATTCTTCAGGACTTTGGGCATGGCTGCCGCCACCAAATGTTTGCCTGTCTCCAGGAGACAGCCACCAGGTTCTGTGGCTCTTAAAGGGTCTTGGAATTTCTCACCGTATTCTAAGGTTCCAGGGGGCTTTTACTGTGTGTGCCTTGGAATTCCTCCCCCCAGTTGCAGAGACTGGGGAAGGGATAGGTAAGTATCTAATCTCTGTTCCCATATCTCAGAGCAGAGGGATTAGGAGCCACAGACCTCAGGCAGGCTGTGGGTGAGGCAGCCGAGACGGAAGCAGGACCTCACATCCAAGGACATCCTTGAGGAGACTTCTGGGGTGAGACCGGGTTCCTCAGAGCAGACTATGGACTCCCTACTTCACCAGAGTGGAGCAAAAGGGCAAAGGAGGAGACTACCCCACACCAGTGAGTCCGTCATCAGCGCACCGCCCTTCTCAGAGCTTCTAGTCCCCAGTCCTCTCATCAAATCTGCCCTCCAGGACCCCCTTCAACCATGCATTGGGGTCCCCAGTCCTCTCACCCCGTGCTCTCCTCCAGCCAAGCCCTTTCCTCTTCTTTCCCTCATGTCTGCCCCACTTCCTTCAGGATCCCCCAAGTTCCTGCCACCCTCATCCAGGTTCCCCCAGGCTCTACCCCCCTGCAAACCCTTAACCCTAATACACCACATCCCGGTCGTGGATGCTGGCCTTGCTGGGCTAACCTCTCTGACCCCTCAGTGGTACAGAGGTTCCTGAGCTGGGGGCTGCCCGCGTCCTGTAACCGATTCCTGTGGCGCCAGCCGGGCGAGTTTCCGGTCACTGCTGTCCTGCTGGGGGCAGGCATTGGAGGGCTCCTGGCCATAGGTGAGCGTGAAACAGAGGTCGGGGTGGGACCCATCTTGTGACCTATGGCTTAACCCTGTACCCTCAGGTCTCTTTCAGCTCCTGGTGAATCCCATGAACATCTATGAAGAACAGAAGATAATGACATTGTATGGCTTGGTGGGTTAGTGCTGGGCTGAGGACAGGGACACCCAAGAGGCCTGTGCCCAGGAAGGAGTCTGAGCTTGTTTCTTCTGTACCCAAATGTCCTTTGGGGTCTCAGCCTCATCTTGGGTTCTAAAGGGGGAGATCCAGAGGGAAGAGGCCCCCAGTCTGTGGAAGAAGACAGTCCTTATGCTCTAGGGGTCTTCCCAGTCTAAGGGGCTCCATTACCCACATCACGCAGCTCAAGCCCCACAACTTCCTAATGCCCGTCTCACCTCTGGCCTTGTTTCCTGCTCCTTCTGGTGAGTGCCAGTCATTCATTCAGCCATTCAGCACTAACTGCGCCTGCTGAGAATTCAGCAGGGAACAGGGGTGACAAGCCCTCATTTGGAGTTTACATTCTAGTGGAGAGAGTTGGGCAAGAAATTAACAAGAAATAAGCAAGAGCATTTCTGATCGTGACAAGTGGTATGAAAAAGTAAACCAGGGGGACGTGATGGAAAGGGGCTGGGGTGCTACCCTAGCTTGAGTAGTCAGGGAAG